ATAATAGCTGAAAAGTTCCCAAATTTAGTGAAAGACAAGCTTAAGAGATTCAAGAAGTTCAGCAAACTCTAAATAGTATAAATTCAAAGAAATCCACGCTAGACACATCGCTGGCAAATGCTATCAATTAAAGAAGAATTACCACCATTTCTGCACAATCTCTTCCAAAAACAAAAGAGGAAGGAACACTTTCCAACTCATTTTATGAGCCCAGCATTACCTTGATAACCAAACCAGACCAAGACAGCACAAAAAAAGTACAGACCAATATCCCTCATGAAAATAAATACAAAAGTACTCAATGAAATACCAGTAATTCAAATCCAGCAATACGAAAAATGAATAATACACCATTACCATGTCATGGGCATATAGGGATGGTTCAATATTCAAAAAGCAATTCAAAATAATAATAAAGAAGAAAATAAAGAAGAAAAATAACATGACCCTATCAATAGACATAGAAAATGTATTTGACAAAATACACCATCCATTCATTATAAAAACTCTCAGCAAACTAGGAATAGAGGAGAATTTCTTCAACTTGATAATATATACAAAAACTACAGCTCATATTATACTTAACGATGACTGAATGCTTTCTCTAAAGATCAGGAACAAGACAAGGATATGTACTCTCAGCATTCCTGTTCAACGTCATTTGGAAATCCTAGAGTGCAGTAAGTCAAGGGGAAAAAAAGCATGCAGATAGCAAAACAAAGAAATAAAACTGTCCCTATATACAGATAACAGGATCACCCATACAAAAAATCCCAAAATATCTATGAAAAAACTCTAAGAACTATTAAGTGACTTTAGATAGATCACAGGATATAAGGTCAACACATAAAAATCATCACATTTGTATATATTAGCAATGAACAATTAGAAATTGAAATGAAGAAAACAATATTCTTTATAATAAGCGTCTCAAATATGAAATACTTAAGTATAATATTAAAAAACTGTGTACAAGACTTGCATACTAAAAATTATAAAACTTTTAGCTAATGAAAGAAATAAAAAAAGACCCCAAATAAGGCATATTAAAGGGCCGGGTGCAGTGGCTCACGTCTGTAATTCTAGTACTTTGGGAGGCCGAGACGGGAGGATCACTTGAGGTCAGGAGTTTGAGACCAGCTTGAGCAAGAGTGAGACCCTGTCTCTACTAAAAATAAAAAAAAATTTGCTAGGTGTGGTAGTACAGGCCTATATTCCCAGCTACTTGGGAGACTAAGGCAGGAGGCTTGCTTGAGCCCAGAAGTTTCAGGTTGCTGTGAGCTAAGCTGATGCCACAGCACTCTAGCCTGGGCAACAGACCAAGACCAAGACTCTATCAAAAAAGGCATATTATATCCATGAGTTCAAACACTCACCAAATTCATGTATGTATTTAACACAATTCCAATCATAATCCCAGCAGGATTTTTTTTTTTATAGATATAGGCTAGGTTATTTTAACATTTATATGGAAAGGCAAAGGAACAAAAATAAACAAAATAATATTCAAAAAGAATAAAATTGGAGGAATCACTACCCAATTTTAAGATTTACAATAAAGCTACAGTAATCAAGTCAGTGTGCTATTGGTGAAAGGATAGACACATAGATCAACTGAAAAAAATAAAGTACAGATATAGACCCACAAAATTATGGCCAATTGATTTTTGACAAAAGTGCAAAGGGAATTCAATAGAGAAAAGATCACCTTTTCAACAAACTATATGTGGGAATAATTGGACATCCATATGAAAAACAAACAAAACCCCTCACACTTTATATAGAAATGAACTAAAAATGTAAAATATAGAACTATACTATTTTTATAAGACAACAGGAGAAAATTATCATGCCTGTGGTTAGGCAATGAGTTCTTAGATGTCACACCAAAAAAACATTATCCATAAAAGATAAATATTAATGAAAATTAACAACTTGTTCTGCAAAAGATGCTGTTAAACTAATTAAAAGACAAACTATGAACTGGGAGGAAATGTTTGTAAACCAGATATCTGACAAAGGACTCGTATGCAGAATATATAAACTCTCAGAACTCAACAGTAAGTAAAAGAACAAACTAATTTTAAAAAGAGGTAAAAGACTGTTTGTGAACAGATCATTCACCAAAGAGGATATACGGATGGAGTAAGCACAAGAAAAAAATGTTCATCATTCATCATCGGGAAATGCAAATTACAACTACGATGAGCTATTACTATGTATTATTAGAATGGCTATAAAAATTATTGACAAACAGGCTGGGCACGGTGGCTCACACCTGTAATCCTAGCACTCTGAGAGGCCAAGGCGGGCGGATTGCTCGAAGTCAGGAGTTTGAAACCAGCCTGAGCAAGAGCGAGACCCCGTCTCTGTTATAAATAGAAAGAAATTAATTGGCCAACTAATATATAGAGAGAAAAAATCAGCCGGGCATGGTGACACATGCCTGTAGTCCCAGCTACTCGGGAGGCTGAGGCAGGAGGATTGCTTGAGCCCAGGAGTTTGAGGTTGCTGTGAGCTAGGCTGATGCCACGGCACTCACCCTAGCCTGGGCAACAGAGCGAGACTATGTCTCAAAAAAAAAAAATATTGACAATCTATTGTACAACATGGTGACTATAGTTAATAACAATGTATTGTATTCTTGAAAATTACTAAAAGAGTATATTTTAAGTGTTCTCACCAGAAAAAAATGAAAATTGTGAGGTAATACATATGTTAATTAGCTCAATTTAGCCATTCCACAATGTATACATATTTCAAAACAATATCTTGTACATGATAAATATATACAATTTGTATTTGTCAATTTACTTTCTTTCTTTCTTTCTCTTTGTCTCTCCTTCCTTCCTTCCTCTTCCTTCCTTCCTCTCTTCCTTCCTTCTTCCTTCCTTCCTTCTTTCTCTCTCTCTCTCTTCTTTCTTTCTTTCTTTCTTTCTTTCTTCTCTTCTCTCTCTCTCTCTCTCTTTCTCTCTCTCTCTCTTTCTCTTTTTCTCTTTCTTTCTTTCTTTCTTCTTTTTTCTTTCTTTCTTTCTTTTTCTTTCTTTCGAATCAGGGGTCTCATTATGTTGCCCACACTGGTCTCAAACTCCTGGCCTCAAGTGATCCTCCTGCCTCAGGCTCCCAAAGTGCTGGGATTACAGACGTGAGCCGCCACACCCAGCTGTATTTGTCAATTAAAAACTAAATTAAAAAAATACTGATAATACCAAATGCTTGTAAAGAATAGAACAGCTACTCTGTAAAATGGTTTGGCAGGGTCTTATAAATTTAAACATACACTTACCATATTACCCAGAAACCCCACTCCTAGGTATTTATTTACAGTAGGGAAATGAAAACCTATGTTCATATAACAACTTATATACAAATGTTCATATGAGCTCTATTCATAACACCAAAATTTGGAATCAACCTAAATTTCCTTTAAGTGGTAAATGGATAAACAAACTGTGGTATATCCATATAGTAAATATTACTCAGTAATAAAAGGAATGAATTATTGATACATGTAATATGTAACAACTTAGAAGAATCTCAAAGGCATTATGTCGAATGAAAGAAGCCATTCTCAGGCTGGGTACGGTGGCATACGCCTGTAGTCCCTGATACTTTGGAGGCTGAGGCAAGAGGATCGCTTGAGCCCAGGAGTTTGAGGTTGCAGTGAGCTACAATGACACCACTGCACTCTAGCCAGGGCAACAGAGTAAGACTCTGTCTCAAAAAAAAAAAAAAAAAAAAAAAAGGAAAGAAAAGAAAAGAAAAACACAGTTTAAGCATAAATCAAATTGTTAAAAGCAAAACATATCTTCATAATTTTTAGTTTCATTTTGTAATATAAAATCCCAGTTGAGCCCTTTTTCCACCATTAACAATGAAATTTTGATTCTTATTTTATGTGGACTCACTTTAAGTAGTCTTCTTCATTGTCCATTATCCTCTACTGAGCAAGACCACTTTTATGTTAAAATATACAGATGCTCCTTGATTAACAATGGGGTTACATCATGATAAACCCATTGTAAATTGAAAATATCATAAGTTGAAAATGCATTTAATATACCTAACCTACCAAACATCATAGCTTAGTTGGGCCTACCTTAAAAATGCTCAGAATGGTTATGTTAGCTAAAGTTGGGCAAAATCATCTAACGCAAAGCCTATGTTATAATAGTGTTGAATATCTCATGTAATTTATCAAATACTGTACTGAAAGTGAAAAACAGAATGAATGCATGGGTACTCAAAAGACATTTTCTACTGAATGTGTATTGCTTTTGCACCATTGTAAAGTTGAGAAATCTTAAGTTGAACCACCATAAGTGGTGGCCTGTGTATATACTGAAACAAAAAAAGACTAGAAGGACACATGCCTGAGTGGTAACTATAACAAGTTGTTTCAGGGTAATGAGATTGTAAGTGACTTGTTTTCTTTATTTTCTAAGTTTTCCAGAACAGCCTTGTCTTACTTTAATCATCAGTAGAAAAAAGGTAAAGAACCCTTTCAATTCACATTTAGTAATTTTTTTTTTATTTTGGCATATTATGGGGGTACAGATTTTAAGGTTTCAATAAATGCCCATTTCCCCCCTCCCCCCACAAGTCTGAGTCTCCATCATGACCATCGCCCAGATGGTGCACATCTCATTCATTATGTATGTATATACCCGCCCCCTCCCCCCTCACCTGCCCAATACCCTATTACTGTAGTACCTATGTGTCCACTTAGGTGCTACTCAGTTAATACAAGTTTGCTGGAGAATATATCTGGTGCTTGTTTTTCCATTCTTGGGATACTTCACTTAATAGTAATTTTTTAAAGGAAATTTTGGGGCTCTGGTCTGTAAGCATGTAGAAGACATGCAGGTAGGAGCAAAGATATTAGGTATCATAGTAGGAGCAAAGATATTAGGTATCATGATCAGGAGACATGAGACCTGCTGGTGTTGTAGGAAAAGTAAGACAACTGGCTGCTCTGAGGAAGGGGAATCCCAGCTCACCTGAGACTGTTTGAAAACATCCTTCCCAACCACATCCAGGTTTGAGGGGTCTTTGATGGAACTAACGTACTCGGAAACAGCCTTGATCACCACGTCACAGGGAGGAAGAACCAGCTGATGAGCCCGGACCTAGAAAAGGCACAATAAGCATGGAACACTGACATCAAAGATAGATCACTAAGAAAAAGGGTGAGGTGAGGGAGGAGATGGGGAATTCAAATTCAGTAAATCTAAATCCACTGAGAGAGAGTTAAAATTATTTTCTTTAAAAATAGCTTTCCCCCCTAATTCTCAGTACAGAATACTTGGCAAAAATCAAAAAGTATGCAGAGATAAAAGCCTATCATTCATAATTCTCCTACAGAGATAACTACTGTTTTATAACACTGTCATAATTAATCAGTTTCTTTCATGAGATATTTTGACTGCTTCCAATTTTTTTTGTTTTTTTGATATAGGCTCTTGCTCTGTTTCCTGAGCTAGGGTACAGTGGTGTCTTCTTAGCTCACTGCAACCTCAAACTCCTGGGCTCAAGTGATCCTCTTAGCTCAACCTCCCACGTAGCTAGAACTACAGGTGTATGCTACCATGCCCAGCTATTTATTTTTTTATCTTTTATAGAGCCAGGGTCTCACTATGTTTCCCAGGCTGGTCTCAAACTCCTGGCCTCAAGCAATCCTCCCACCTTGGCCTCCCCAAATGGTAGCATTATAGGTATAAGCCACTGTACTCGGCCCCTACTTCCAATTTTTAGCTACTAAAAGTAATGTTGTAATGTGCAGACCATGTTTGGATCCTGATTTGAACTACTAAATGGCCTTTTTCAGATAATCAGGAAAATCTGGAAATGGACTAGATATTAAGATGATACCAAAAAATTAGCATTAATTTTGTTAGTAGTAATAATGGCATTGTGCTTAAGTAAGAACATACCCAAGTGTTTCAGAGATGCATACTGAAGAATGTGGGAGTGAAATGACTTGAAGTTTGGCATTTGCTTTAAAATATATTAGCAACAACAAAACCCAGCAAGTGTAGCAAAATCTTGATAACTGTTGGATCTGAAAGATGTTACAATTGTAGTTAACTATATTATTATGTTATTTTCTCTACTTTTGTGATGCTTGGCAATTTTAAAAAGAAAAATTTTTAATGCTATCATGATATGTAGGTATGATTTCTTGCCCACTTTCTAATTATTTAATTACAAGCTTCCTCAAACTATAATTACTGGGTCAACGGGCATAAACTTCTTAAAGGCTTCTGATATAAATTATTTTGCCAAAAGGCCGTGTACCATTCATTCCTTTAACAAATATTTACTGCCTACTATGTGCCAGACACTGTCCTAGGCACCAAGGACACAGCAGTAAACAAGACAGACAAAAATCCTTGCCCTCATGGGAGCTTAAATTCTATTGTAGGTATGTTAGGAGGGTGATGGGAATTAAACAAAATAAATAAGTAAAATGTATAGTGTGCTAGCTGTAGATAAGTGCTATGGACAAAATATTAGTAAAGAAAGGGCTAGAGAGTGCAAGTGTGTATGTTCATGCATGTGCATGATCAGGAAAGGCCTCACTGAGATAAAGACAACTGAGAAAACCTCTAGGAGTGAGGAAATAGCTATGTGGGAAGTAAAAGCATTCTAATTAGAGAGAATGGTAAGTGCAAAGGTTCTAAGAGCAAAAGAAAAGAAAAATGAAATCAGAGATATAACAGGGGCTAGATAATACAGGGCTCTGTAGGCCATGTTAAGGATTGGGTGAGTGACATAATGAGCCTTTGGAGAATTTTGAATAGATAAGTGACATGATCTTAGTTTTTTTAAAAGGATCACTCTGCTATCATATTGAGAATAAGGCCTGGCGCGGTGGCTCATGCCTATAATCCTAGCACTCTTGGAGGCCGAGGTGGGAGGATCGCTTGAGCTCTGGAGTTCGAGACCAGCCTGAGCAAGAGCAAGATCCTGTCTCTACTATAAATAGAAAAATTAGCTGGGCATAGTGGTGCATGCCTGTAGTCCCAGGTACTCAGGAGGCTGAGGCAGGAGGATCACTTGAGCCCAGGAGTTTGAGGTTGCTGTGAGCTAGGCTGATGCCATGGCACTCTAGCCCGGGCAATGGAGTGAGACTCTGTTTCAGGGGGAAAAAAAAGAGAATAAATGGGAGTGGAGGGGTGTAAGCAGAACGCCATCAGTTAGAAAGCTGTTACATAATAATATTGAGGTCAGAAATAATGGTGGCTAGACCAGAGTAATAGCAGTGCAAACAGTGAGAAGAGAAAGAGAAGTCAGGATGACCTCAAGGTTTTTAGCCTAAGGAACTGGAAGGATGAAGTTGCCAACAACAAAAATAAGAGAGACTGTGGGAGGAGCAGGTTTAAGGGAGTTTCCATTTGGATATATTACTTTGAGATGCCTATTAGGTAAGTAAATGAAGATATTTAATAGGCAGTTAGATATTAGAATCTGGAGTTTAAGGGAGAGGTCAGAGCTGGCGACATAAACTTAAGAGTCATCAATGGACAGATGGTATATTTAAAGTCATGAGATGGGATAAGATCAATCCAGTGTAGATAGAAAAGAGAAGGAAACCAGGATGGAACCCTGGGACACTCTACAGTTAAGAAGTAGAGAAGAAGACAAGGAAGCAGCAAAAGAGATTGAGGAGAAGCAGCAGTCAGTGAGGTAGGGAGGAAACCAGAAGAAAGTTGTGTCCTTAAAGCCAAGTGAACAAAGCGTTCTAAGGAGCAAGGAGTGAGCAACTGTGTCAAATACTGCCAAATGGTCAAGTAATGTGAAAACTAAGAGCTGGCCACTGAATTTATTAACTTGGAGATTATTGGTGACCTTGTCAAACAAAGGCAATTTTAGCAAATCAGACTGAAGAGAAAACAGGGGAAGGAGATAGTATGCAGCTCAAGTATAGACAACTCTTTAGAGGAGCTAGTTATAAAAAGAAATATGGAGCAGTACCTTGGCATGGGGAGTGAGGTCAAGAGTGGGTTTTTGTTTTATTTTTTAAGATGGATACATGCTTGTACATCCAATATAAAGAGCCAATAAAGAGGAAAACTGATGATGCAGGAGAAGGGGGTAACTGACACCCTTAAGTTGGCAAAAGGAGATGGGATCTGGGTATGGTGGTGCATGCCTGCAATTCCAGCTACTGGGGAGGCTGACGCAGGAGGATGACTTGAGCCCAGGAGTTCAAGGTTGCAGTCATCAGGCCAGTGAATAGCCATTGTACTCCAGCCTGGGCAACACAGCGAGACTCTGTCTCTAAAAAACATTAAAATAAATAAATAAAAGGAAATGGGAGTTAGTGTAAGTGCAGGGAGTTAGCCTTAGGTAAGAACATGGCCAGGTCAGCCACAGTTAACAGGAGAAGATGTGGGCACAGAGATCCATGTAGGTTAGATGAAGAGATGGTGGGAGCTTGTAGAAATTCTCTTCCCATTGCTTTTATTTTCTCAGTAAAATAGGAGGTGAGGTCATGAACTGAGAGTGAGGAGATGAGGAGGAAGTATTAGAGGCTTAAGGAGGGAGGAGAAGCTATAAAATAGTTACCTAGGAGAGTGAAAGAACTGGGGAAATAGAATATAATTGCCAACTTACACTACCACTGAAGTATATGAGGGTATCAGTATTGCCACAGCCTTGATAGGAGTGGGTACACTCATTTTTCAATATTTGCAAAACTGTTCAGTTATAAAAATCACAATGCTCATTTAATTTACATGTCTGATCACTAGTGAGGTTGATCATTTAGTCACTGTATTTCCTCTTTTGTGAATTTTCTGCTTCTGTCCTTTGTTCATTATTTCCTTATTAGGGAATTAGCATTTTTCTTCTAGATTTGTATGAATTCTTGAGATATTAAGCGTATTGATATTAAGCGTATTGATAACTAATTTTTTAAGCGTATTGATAACTAATTTTTTATCTATATGTGAAATATTTTAATTTTAAGAAGATAATTATTCCATTAAAACTACTATCAAAACCAGATGTATCTTAATCCATACAAGCAGGAAATGAGGAACATTACCTTAAGTGATGCAAGAGGATGTTCTGGTCCCAAGAGGCTCCAGTGAAAAGCAGCCAGGTCCTCATCTGGGAGAATGTGGTTACCTATAAAGTACATTTGTCATTTATTGACTATACAAAAGTTCTTAGAATCTCCAGGCCATGAAAGAGGTCCTAAGAGAGAAAATGATCAAATAATTCATATAGGTCTATATTTTTAATGTAATAATTACAGTAGCTGTGTGTTGATTATCTATCATGTATTGTATGCATTATACGTATCATCTTTAAAATGACCATGCATGGTGGTATTTTTATCCCCATTTTACAGATAAGGAAACTGAGATTTGGACAAGTTTGATGACTTGGCCCAATGTGGTCCGGCCAATAAGTACACACACCAGGATAAGAAGCTAGGACTGTCTGACTCCAAAGTCCATGCTGTTACCTATCACCTAGTCATGATGCCTTTTAGAATAGCAGCCACCAATTACTAACTGCCTAATAAGTGCTGAGCATTTGGTATATCTCATTTCATTTAACCTTACCAATAACACCATGAGGTATTATTATTCCCATTTCACAGAGGAGGAAACTGAAAACAGGGAGGTGTGACTTCCATGAGTTGCCCAAGGCCTAATTCCAAAATTTGTGCTGAGTTTATTACATTATCCAAACTCATGTTCTTTGGGATTATAGAGCAGAGGTCACACATGAGACAGGATATTTACCTTCATGCTGTTAGTACTTGGAAAACCAATTCAAAACATAACTCTCTGTAATTTACTTTGAAATACATCTTAAAAAGATAGATTGATGGATGGATAGAAGAAGGGATATATGATAAAGCAAGTATAGTAAAATGTTAATGGCAGAATACAAGTGGTGGATATGGGGTTTTCATTGTAAAATTCTTTCAATTTTGCTATATGTTTGGAAATTTTCATAAGATATTAGCAGAAAAGAAAGAAAGAGAAAAACATAATCAACAATTTGTGTTCCTGATCTAAATGTAGACATTGGGGAAGAAATGCTGATGTTATGAGTGGGACACCAAAGTTGTCTAGGGCTAGTAAAACATTTGGCTTCAGATAGTACTCAGCATAAAATGCTTATGAAATGTAACAAAAGAAAAAGTTTTACAAGAATCAAAATAATGTTCTGGAATATCCATAAGACAAACATGCTGAGTTTTAGTGTAGTCTACTAAGTAGCCCAAAAGTCTGCTGGGTTTTCCCCAGCACAGTGTTTGGCATGAGGACTTTAAAAATATAAATCCAATGATGACAGGTTAAATCATCTAGTTTTCAGCTCTTAATATTGGAAGAGGAAACTACCAATCACTGGAGTCTCTTCCTTTGGTCTACCTACCTAGCAGTGCAGCAAATATGGGAAAACTCATTCGCTTCAGGCCCAGTTGCTTGGCCACCTCCTGCATCAGGAACTGGTTGGTAGTGAGGTTCTTCCCATTCCAGCTCAGCTTCAGAGCATGGGAACTATAGTAAAAGGGAATATTGTACAGAGCATACTCGGAGTCATGAGCAAGAAGGCCATGGAAGCCATTTTCCCTGAAAAAAGCCACCACTTCCAAATGGTGGTCTTCAAGGCTCTGAAAGACCTAGGAGGGAAGAAAAGAACATGTCATGCCACAGAAGCTGATTTGTATTTTGTTAGAAGTCAGGAAGGTTAATAACTGTTAAAATTTGATGAAATTTAGGATTACATGTGGCTGAATAGAATACTCTTAAAAAAACTAAACAAAACAAAAACCCTCTCCTACGCTACACCCTGACTATTCTTGTAAACATAGTGCAGACAGCATTATACATGTATTCATTCAAACGTCCTTTTTTGACTCCTTTCACTTGGCCTTAGGCCATTGAAATTAGAATACTAAAATTAACACAGTATATATTGCTCAAGTTTTTACTTCTAAACAAGAACTGAAGAGACTTTTGTTAGAAAGATAGTAAAGCTATTATTTATTGCTTGGCATCTACTATGTGCTGAATGTATTTTACATACATTATTTCATTGTCAGAACAACCATGGCAAGGTACATACAGATGAAAAACTTAGATGTGGAAATAAATACAGAAATCTAAGTTCATCTAACTCTTTTTCTTAAAAGACCTTGCTTTTTTTTCTTAGGAGCATCTTAGATCTCAGGGCACCCAAATTAGGGCTCTTCCAACAGACAGGGGTCACAAACTTCACCCTATTTTAGAAATGGGAAACTAAGGCTTCAAGAGATTGGCTGCCCTCAATGCTGCAGACATAATGAGTGAGTGGTATACAGGATTCAAACCCAGGCTAATCCGACTCCAGAATGCATACTTCTATTGTACCAGGCTTCTTCCTAGAGAGCACTATTTTTTATGTAACAGAGGCAGACTGTTAAGTACTCTTCCTACATATGCCTCTATTGCTACACTTGAAGCATACAGAAATCATCTGTATACTGGCTCAATCAGACTAAGTTCCTTGACTACAGAGAGTTTACTTCTGTATTCCTGGCTCCCTCATAAGACCTGGTACATAGTAATATTAATAATAATGGCAAACAGATAATGAATATGTAATGTGCGCTAAGCAATGCTCCAAGTACTTAACACGCATTAATTCATTTAATACTCACAACAACCTTATGAGGCCATAACTATTATTATTATCCCCATTTTACATTATTATCCCAAAGGTCATTTGGCTAGAAGAAGCAAAGCCCAGATTTTGACTCTTAGAGCCCATGGACCTTGATAGTTTTGTTCAATTCATAACCTATTTTTCATTTAAGTTATAAAGGAATGGTAGTTTTCTGTAGTCTAACAGGAATTTCAATGCATTAAACTTTTGCCACACTATGGAATAAGACTCTAGTCACAGTTGATAGTCATGTCACAGACAAGGGGAGTGACATTGGTAAGCAGACAGTGAAACAAGGTTTGTACTTGTTTGACATCCAGCCAAAGGAACAAAAAAGTATTGCAACATATTTACACCTAGAGATATGATTAACTCCAGCTGTGTCAGGGTAGGAGTATAGTTTTATGCTGTCCCCTGAAGGTAGTTTCTTCTGGCCTATCTCTCATACAAGTCACTGGTTGAGCATCCATGTACCTTGTACCAGGCATAGTTGCTAAGTGTGATATGTTCTACCTCATCATAACAATCTGACCATATAGACATTATAAGCCCTATTTTACAGATGAGGAAATTGAGGCTCAGAGAAGTGAAGTGCCATGTTCAGAGCTATAGAGCTGGAAAATAGCAACCTGGGTCAGACTGACACCAACGTCTATGATCTTTCTGCTACAACACATAATCTTTAGCTGGGTCTGAAGCTGATTAAAGTGATGTCAACTCCAGAAAGCCAAGGACTACTGATTTTTAACTAATCTGGTGGCTCTTAAAATATGAGGAATGTAAATCATGATCACCTGGAGAGCTTTTTGAAACTATAAAAACGTCCTCACTTCAGATCTGCTGAAACAATTTCCTGACTATGATCCAAATAGCTATATTTTTTAATATTGCAGAGTGGATAACAACAGAGGAGGAGAGGGAGGAGAGGGAGGAGAGGGAGGAGAGGGAGGAGAGGGAGGAGAGGGGGGAGGAGAGGGAGGAGGAGGGGGAGGAGGAGGGGGAGGAGAGGGAGGAGATGGCTATATTTCAAAATAGTTTTCAGTAGGTTCTCATGAATACCTCCAATTAAGATCCATTGAACTAATTCAATTATTCATTTTATTGCTTAGGCAACTGAGGCCTAGAAAAGATGAATGAGTTAACATGATTATCTAGCTAATTTGCAGCAGAACCAAGATTAAAACAAGTCTCATGATTCCAGGTATAGGACTTCTTTCACTATATCTTTTGGAGTAGGTAATGGAAAATAATAGAGTAAGAATTTCACAAATCTCTCTCACAATTCCCCAACATCCTACTCCTACCAGGCCAATTTCCTAACTACCTATTTCCAAAATTACTCCTGTTTCCTGTCTTTGCTCACTTGGTCTCCCTGCCTAGAATGCTTTATTGTGTCTCTTTCCCAATGTTCCAAGCAGTTTCCATAGGCCTGCCACCTCTTAGACAAATCATTTGATAATTTCCCTCCTCTTCACTCTTATAGCACTGAGACAGATGACATAGTCACAGATCTAATTTGGCAATACCATCATCAAGTTTTAAGATCATAGGTTCTATTTTACTCTTGTGTGCATCCTCCACAGTCCTACATCCTTCCAACTAGGAAGGACGGAGAGCAGGAGTTGACAGGTACAGAATAGTAAAGAAAGTAAAGAAACCTCCTACTGAGGTTGGGAAAAAGAAAAGCAGCCCTGGCAAATGAGAGGGTACTGTCATCTCAGCATTTGACTTCTACAGCAGATACACTGAAGTCACTGGGAAAAGTCTATCTGGATTGCAGGCCATCTACAGCTCAAGTAGCAAAGTATCAATTAAGTACTTACTATGTACCAGGCACTGTTCCAACCCCCCGTTATGTCCATTAACCTTGCAATAACATCATGGGGATTATCTCCATTTTATAGATGAGCAATCAGTGAGGCTCAGAGGTTAGAGAACTTGACCAAAGTCACACAGCTAAAAAGGTAAGATAGCCAATAAACACATGAAAAGATGCTCATCATTAGTTATTACAGAAATACCAGTCAAAACCACAATGAGAAACCAATTCACTCTCACTAGGATGACCATAATTTAAAAAATGGAGGCCAGGTACGGTGGCTCACACCTGTAATCCTAGCACTCTGGGAGGCCAAGGCGGGTGGATCATTTGAGCTCAGGAGTTCAAGACCAGCCTGAGCAACAAACAGTGAGATCTTGTCTCTACTTAAAATAGAAAGAAATTAGCTGGACAACTAAAAATAGAAAAAATTAGCTGGGCACGGTGGCATGTGCCTGTAGTCCCAGCTACCTGGGAAGCTGAGGCAGGATGGCTTGAGCCCAGGAGTTTGAGGTTGCTGTGAGCTAGGCTGACGCCTGGGTACTCTAGCCGGGGCAACAGAGTGAGACTCTCTCTCAAAAATAAATAGATAAAATAAAATAATAGAAAAATTGAAATCCTCATGCATTGCTGCTGGGAATATAAAATGGTGCAGTCACTGTGGAAAACAGTCTGGTAGGTCCTCAAATGATTAAACATAGAGCTAACATATGATCTAGCAATTCCACTCCTAGGTATACACCCAAGAGAATTTTAAAAAACTATGTTCACACGAAAACTTGTACGTGAATGTTTATAGCTGCCTTATCCATAAAGTCAAAAAGTAGGAACAACCCAAATGTCCATCAACTGATGAATGGATAAGCAAACCATACAAAGAAATATCATTAATCCATAAAAAAGGAATGAAGTATTGATTCATGCTACAATGTGAATGAACCCTGAAAACATTATGCTAAGTGACATAAGCCAGACACAAAAAGCCACATATGATTTCTTTTACACAAAATGTGTAGAATAGGCAAATCCCTACAGATGGAAAAATAGATTAGTGGCTGCTGCCAGGGGTTGGGGATAAGGGGCAATAGAAAGTGAACACTACTAGTAGGTACTAGGTTTCCTTTTGAGGTTATAAAAATGTTCTAGAATTAGAGGCAATAGTAGCACAACTCTGTGAATATACTAAACACCACTAAATTGTACACTTTAAAATGGTGAATTTATGGTATATGAATTATATCTTAATTTTTAGAAAGTGAAGCTAGGATTCAAACCCAGCTCTGTTCACAAAGCCCAAGCTCCCTAACCCTCACTTTAACCACTTCGGTAGGCGCTCACCGGCCGCGAACCCTTGCCCACAGCGGGCACTCATAGTCCGCACCATAGTTTGTGCTGTGCATTGACGACAAATCCGTTTTGCTGCTGTGTGATGAGGAAAGCTTTAAAGCACTGAAAGCTTGTTTTACTTTACAGGCAGCTTTACTTGTGATGTAAATCAGAATAGGTAACATATACATATATGTTTTCATTACGTTATTTTTAAATGTTCACAATTTTATTTTGATAAATGAAAAATTAGAAAAGTCATATCATGGCTGTTGGCTAAAGTCGCTGTGCGTGTTCATCTGTGGCTATCGACTATAGTCGAAGCTCATACCGAAGTGGTTAAGAACTTTTTATTATGGAAAAATGTAAACATACAAAGGTAAAGACAATAGCATAATGAATCCCCATGAAAGCATTACCCAGTATTAACTATTATCAAAACTAAATCATTCTTGTTTCATCTACCTTGTCCCCTTCCTTTTATGGCATGTTTAATATATTTTTTACTGTGATTAAAAAGCACATAAAATGTATCATCTTAACTTTTTTTTTTTTTTTTTTTTGAGACAGAGTCTCACTCTGTCACCCAGGCTAGAGTGCTGTGGAGTCAGCCTAGCTCACAGCAACCTCAAACTTTTGGGCTCAAGGGATCCTCCTGCCTCAGCCTCCTGGTTACCTCTGACTACAGGCACACACCACCGTGCCCGGCTAATTTCTTTCTATTTATAGCAGAGATGGGGCCTCACTCTTGCTCAGGCTGCATACTAACCATTTTTTTTTTAATTTTTTTATTTTGGCATATTATGGGGGTACAGATTTTAAGGTTTCAA